TGTGTGCAGGCCACCTGCCCTGGGTGGGTGGAGCACTCACACTGTCTCCCTGCCTTCCTCTTGCACAGGATGAAGATGTTTACAAAGTGAGGACGCTGGCCCCCTGCTGAGTTACTTAGTTAAACTTCTAAATTTCTCAAACTGACACAATGTATCCACCATTACAGTAAGTCCTAAAGAACTACCAACTTTTTTTTTGAGACAAGGTCTCGCTTTATAGTGAAGACTGGCCTTAAACTCACTATGTAGCCCAGGCTGGCTTTAAACTCCTGACCATCCTCCTGCCTCAGCCTCCTGAGTGATGGGATTACAGGTGTGGGCCAGCATGCTTGGCTACCAACTTTTCAAAAACAATATATGGCTTTGTTCACAAGAGTAGAAGCAACTGAGTATCCATCCATAGAAAGTGAGTAGAAAATGTGCCATCCATGATCAGTGAAACAGTATTCAGCCTTAAAGAGGAAGGAATTCCCAACACATATTTCAGACATGGGTGTACTGTGAGGGCCCCAGGCAAAGTGAAGTAAGTAATTCACAAAAAGACAGATACTGTATGAGCCACTCGTATGAGGTGCCAGAGCAGCCAGATTCATAGAGGCAGCAGCAGAAGGATGGCTGCCAGGAGTTGGAGGGGAGGGGCACAGGGGTTCGTGTTCCACGGGTACACACGATCAGTTCTGAAAAGGCTCTGGGGATGGATGGTGGTGATGGTGGCGATGACTGCAGAACATGAATGTAGGTAATGCTGCAAAACTGTGCGCTTAAACTGGTTCAAGTGATAAAATGTATGCTTACACTTTATCATAATTTTTAAAAATATAACGCATTTTCCCCAACAAATCTCTCACCCCTCCAATATTCCTATCCAGCCGCCCAAGCCAGAAACCTGGAGATTCTCACTGGGCTGTTAGCTCACGTTCCCTTCCACTCCCGTCCCCAAGTCCCGCAGGGTCCACCCTAAAAGCATCCTTCCTGTCTCCATGGATACGCCTGGACTCAGGCTCTCGTCCTCCCCTTCACATCCACAAACTCCTGTGTGCCCTGCCTCTGGCCACAGCCATGCTCCACTCGGCCTTGAGAACAACCTCAGGACCCGGGAGAGCCCCTGCCACCTCCACCAGCAAGCCTTAAAGCCACACCCACAGGATGAGCCAGCTTCTTCTCCACGGCAAAGAAGGGTTTTTCTGAACATGCCTCTCAGCCCTCTACAGGCTCGTCTTTCCCGACTCCTTCACTGCTCTCGTCAGTCTGAGCTCAGTTCCGGTGGTGGATTAACTAATGGTCACCTTGTAACGCCCGGCTGAACTGAATCTGCGGGTGCTGGGCGTGGAGGGCCCACCTGAGGAATGTGGCCCACACCATAGAAGCAGAGCTGGAGGGGAAGATGGTGTGCTGTTGATTCTCCTGGAGAAGCTTGTCATGCTGGTTTTTCTGATGTGAACTCAGCTGTTTTCATTGTCAGAGGAGCTCGGGTTCACACTGTCACAGAGGATGGCTGCGGTTCTCTTCAGGGGAGCTCTGGTCCTTACCTTCAGCATTGCTTCCCGGCTCCAGTGCAGATCCCCCAGCCCACTGGCACAGACTTTCCAGCTTCCACCACTGACCTTTGGGTCTTCCTGGCGCAGGTCCTTGGTACAGACTTGCATGAGACATTGTCCTGGGCTCTAGGCCTCCAGCTGGACACGTGCAGGACACTGCCGTGGGATCCAGGCCCTCAGCTGGATTCTTGGGGTCTCTAGTGCGTGGACAGATTGCTTGAGCTCTTATGCTTTTGACATTTTGGGTGAATATTATAAATAATCCCATATATTATTGTCCTGTATTAAATCTTTTTCCTTGGAAACCCTGACTACAACAGTTCACTAAATGTTTCATGTTCTCTTATCCTTCTGTGCCTGTTTTACTGAGAACGCCATCTCTCCTTTGCCCATCAGGATAACTCCTACTCTTTCTTTCCAGCTTGCATCAAACAGCCAGGTCTCGGAACCTTCTCTGTCTGCTTCTCTCTCCCTTCTCCAATACCAGGATCTCAGCCCATGCCCATGCAGGAGTTCCCTTCTCTGTACAGCTCCGTCACATGCTGCATGTTCACTCCCACAGCATCTTCAATAAAGTGAAATTGGCCGGGCGTGGTGGTGCATGCCTGTAATCCCAGCACTGGGGAGGCTGAGGCAGGAGGATCATTGCGAGTTTGAGACCGGCCTGGGCTACAAAGTGAGCTCAAGGCCAGCCTGAACTGCATAGAGAGACCCTGTCTCAAAAAGACAAAAAATAAATAAACAAAGTGAAATCACTTCTCCCAACACAGCGAGGCACTTTTCGGTTTTCCAGTGCATCTAGGTTATGTGTACACTGTAAAGCAGTCTATTAATTAAGTATGTACTATATCTAAAAAACAGTGTGTACAGCTTAAAGTAAAAATATTTTATCATTAAAAATGGTAATACTCATCTAAGTCTGCAGGGAGCCTCATGTACTGTATATACTGGCGGTATTCGGATGGAACCCAGGGCCTTTGCACTGAGCCACATATCCAGCCCTTTTTATTTCTGAGACCGTGTCTCCCTAAGTCACTAAGTCCCAGATACCCATGCTTGGCTCAGACTTGGGCTCTTCCTGCCTCAGTCTCCCAAAGTGCTGGGATTACAGGCGTGCGCCACCATTGCCAGCTCATGTGGTAATGCTCTTTGATAGTATCTTACTCACAGTAAAACTTTCAAAATTAGAGTCAATTCTCTCAAATCTTGCTGGTGCATTATCAACTGAGTTTGTGTAATATTCTAAATTCTGTGTTGTTATTTCAATAATGACGACGTTCATATCATCTTTAGCAGAGTGGATCCATGTCAAGAAATGTTTTCTTGGCTCATCTATCAGAAGCAAGTCCTTGTCTGTTACAGCTGTGTCGTGAGACCCTGTCCGTTCAGTCACCAGGCTCCACGTCTTACCGCCAGTTCCCTTGCTTCCCCACCACGTCTGCAGTTAGCTCCTGCACCCAAGTCGGGAGTCCCTAGGTCATCTAGAGGAAAGGAGCCCGCTGCTTCCAAACTCCAGTTGATGTTGATATTTTCACTTTCTCCCATGAATCATGGATGCTCTTAATGGCATCTAGAATGGCGAATCCTTCCCAGAAGGTTTTCAATTTAGTTTTCCCAGATGCATCAGAGGAACAAGTCACTATGTGTGGTGGTTACAGCCTCATGAAAGTATTGCTTAAGTAATGAGATCTGAAAGTTGAAATTACTCCTTGCCCCATGTGCTGCAGTGTGGACGTTGTGTTGGTAGGTGTTACATCTCCACCAGAGTCTGGAGTGACCACGTGCCTTGTGAACGAGCTATAGTACGTGACAGGAGTCTCTTCCCCGAGCCGGCGGCCTCAGCAGTGGCTTAACCTGTGTGCAAGCCCTGCTGCAGACAGGCTGCTGTCCTCCAGGCTTGCGTGATGCACTGGGAGAGCTCAGGCAGAGTGGAGGCAGGGTGGCTTGGGGGAGAACGGTGCATGAGCCGCTCGCATCTTTCTCTGCATCGACCCTCGGGAGAGAGGCGGGCTGTCCTCCTAGGTGGGCAATGAAGCCCGGCACAGCCATCTCCTGTCCAGCCGCAGAGGTCTAGAGGCGTCTTCTGCCAGTGCAAGGCTGTTCTGTCCACAGTGAGAATGTGGCTGAGGGCAGCCACCTTCCGTTAGCTCAGCTAGACCTGAGTAACTTGCTGGAGTTTTGGCATCAACGCCTGCTGCTTCACCTTGCACTTTTGCATTACAGAGACAGCTTCTTCCCTTCAGTCTCAGAAGCCAACCTCTGTCAGCTTCAGACTTTGCTTCCGCAGTTTCTCTCAGCCTTTACAGAGCTGAACAGAGCTGGGGCCTTGCCCTCCATTGGGGTTGGCTTAAAGAAATACTGTGGCTGGTTTGATCCTTTCAACCACTAACTTTCTCCATGTTAGCAACAGGCTGTTTTGCTCTCTCACTGGAGCAGCACTTGCAATTTCTTTCAAGAACTTTCCCTTTGCAGTCACAGTTGGTTGCTTGGAGGGAGAGGCCTCACTTTCAGGCCATCTCAGGGCTTGGCAGGCCTGCCTCACTCCACAGTCATTTCCAGGTTTTGATTTCAAGTGACAGGCAGGCAGCTCTTTCTTTTACTTGAATACCTAGAGGACACTGTGGTGTTACTAACGGGCCTAATTTCAGCACTACTCCATCTCAGGAATAGGGAGCCCAAAGAGAGGAGGGCAGAGGGGAAATGGCCAGTTTGCGGAGCAGTCACAGCACACACGTTTATCCACGAAGCTCCCTGTCTTATATAGGCAGGGTTCATGGCACCACAACTGCAGTAGTAACATCAGAGATCACCACAGAAAGCATAAGGAAAAAGTCTAAAGTATTTGCAGTCTCCCAAAGATGACCCAGAAGTATGAAGTGAACGCATGCTGTTGGAAAAAATGATGCCAATATACTTGCTTGCTGAGAAGTTGCCACAAATCTTGAATTTGTAAATACCACAAGTATGCAAAGGAGACCGCAATAGAATGTGGTCTACCTGTAAATACGTTATTCCTTATATTTACTGCACAGTAATTAAGGATTTGCCAAGAAAAAGAGCTCCGGAGCCAGACTACCAGAGTTCTAATCCAGGCTCAGCACTTTATAACCTTCCAAGTTAGAAATTAGTTAGCCTCTCTGAGCCGTGGTTTCATTAGTTATGAGATGGGGATTATAATATGGACCATGGGAACAGTGGTGAGGATGCGATGAAGTATTACACTTAAAGTGCTCAGATCTGTGTCTGGTTCCTAACAGGTATCCTTAGCAATGGTAGTACTGGTGGTTACAGTACAGTATTTCTGACACAAGATACTTCCTGCAAAGTAAGGTATTCCTAAAGCCTTGAACAGCACGCATTCAAACAGTATTAATAGAAACATAAGGAAATCAGAAAGGAAGGAAGAAGGAAAGGAGCGGGGAGGGATAAAACAACAAGGACCAAGGAATTGGGAAGACTTACCCCCATTTTTGCCCACGGTTCGGAAGCATCTCCAGAAGGCCCGCAGAAATGACGCCCTGTTGTGGGGTGTGGCTTGGATGAAGCTGAATTCCCGAAAGAGAATGTGAGTTCCCTGGCATACACTGTTAAAACTGCAAAGAGAAAAGTTAAGAGACTATCCTTAGTTGGAATTTAGGAGACTGGAATCAGAATAAAAATTCAAGACCAACAGAACCGCTGCCAAAAAGGAGGGGGCTTTTTCTCCCCAACAAAACTTTGAACTATAGATGAGACTGCGTCCTCCCACAGGGAGGTCTCTGCATGCAGCCCCATCCCTCTGAAACTCAGGGAGTCCAGCTCCTCTGAGTGCTTTCATCCCAACATGTACACCCTACGGAAGCCGCTTGGTCACCAGAGCACCTCAAAAAGGGGGCGCTCTTTCAGCCTTTACCTGGGTGACACTGGCACTCTATGTGTTTGGAGAACACGTCTCCCTATATTGTTCCCAGTAGAGATTCTTTCTCTCTGTCCCCAACCCTATACTGGCTGCCATAGCGTGCCATGGCTTACGGGGACACAACTGCACTGTGCCTGGCACGGGGCTGGCTCTGCACACCTCCCTGACATAACCCAGGGTCAAGTCCTGGATGAAAGGCCCACCAAGGGCCACCAAGGGCCACCAAGGGCAAATAGGAAGGAGGGCAGAAGGTCGCCCCTAGGTGAGAGTGCAAAGCAAAGCCTCAGGGGCCAAGTGAGTCATTGTTTAAACCAGCCAGGGAAGGGAGAAAACACACTCCCTGGCCTTTGGGTTCTCCTGCCAAAGAAAGAAGGGCCCAGGAGCCTGGTGTAGTCTAAAAATGGAAATTCCACAGAAGAATAGGCAATTATCCAGTAACCATCCCTTCCGCGGCAGACTGCGCTCCAGAAAACTCCTGACTACCCTGACAAGCAAATCATGAGTGGAAAACATGTTAATGGTTGTGGAGCAGGCCTTATACTGAAGGTGGCAAGGCTTGGCGGGGACCTGGTAATTCCAAATGCCTGCTTGCATTTGTTATCATTGAAAGGCAGTGTGTGTGTGTGTGTGTGTGTGTGTGTGTGCGCGCGCGCGCCCGCGAGGTGGGTCAGAATCTCTGAACTGAAAAGGAACAGATTTTAGAAGCCAAGCATTCCACTCCCCTCTCCTACACCACCTTCAGGGACAAGCGTGTACGGTCTGTAACCACCGGCTTATATCACTTGGGATAAAATCAGCCTCCTCCTCAGGATAAAATCAGCCTCTTTAATATTAACAGTGCTGTAACAAAAATTCCAGTTATCTACCCTTCCTTTCTCATGGAAAACTAGCATAAAAATCTACCTATAAGGCGCTACGAAGAAGTAAGCGAACAATGTCTGGCGAAAGATTACGACAGAAGAGAAGATTCCCCAAAGCCATGAAAGCATTAACTCCCCTTGCGGGTTACACAGTGCGGCAGTGGCTGGCGTTGCTGTTTTACGCAAGGCAAATGGAAAATACAGCAAATGAGCCGTTCCAGGTAAATGGGGCAGGCCCCTCCACAGCTCACGAAGGCTGACAGGAAAGCACTGTAGCCTGAACTTACGAAGCCAGCCCGCAAAGCAGCAGCCCCCAGCGTGCTGCCTTCCCTAAGGAAAGGCCGGCGTGAAGGAGCCTAAGCTGTGAAGGCTTCGAGGAGCCTCCTGTGAAGGAGCGCCTAACAGCAAAATCACACCCTTCGTGTAGATTTTACTATCTACACAAGATGGCTAAGATAATTACACTACTAATTTCTATTAGTTCACTGAAAGGAACGGTTTGTGCTTATACTGCTTGATTAATTTTGCATTCCTATACCTCGTAATCTGAGCAACTACTTTGAAGATAACAATATGCAGTATGCTAACCATTGTTAATATCCTGTCATCTTGTTTTGAAATTGTGTATCATTGGTTTTTTTTTTTTCTTTTAAAAAAAATCTCAGTGCCTTGTTTTGCAGTTTTTTCCCTGGTTCTCTCCCTCATGCCCACCTCCTCTCACTTGTACTCTGAGACACAACGCGCTTTCTTGCTTTAAAGTTCTTGGGCCTCTTTCTCCTCCCAGACGGCACGCTGCACGGAGTAAGTAGGTCACACTCATCTCTGTCTCTGCTGTGTTACCCGACACACAGACACGGCATAAATACTTGTGCTAGTTTACTCGGAAAGATAAGAAAAAATAGGTAATACCAGGCAGAATGAATCTTTGCAGTTGTTCATGCTGGACACACTAGAAGTTTATGTCTTATGTCTTCCAGTCTTTAGTCTGATGTCTACATTATAATATTGCAGTATTCGCTTTATTTTGATTAGTATTTTCCTGGCACATCTACTTCTATGCTTTCAATTTTAACTTATCCGGATCACTTTGTTTCACTACTTAACCTTAGTCTCTGTGCAGTAGTAAGTGACTTTTTACTGTATTTAATTGACTTCTGACATCTTATTTTATCTTTCCGGTGAACTGTTTTTCTCTGCCTTTTTCCTGCTTTTCCTGCTTTGTATTGTACTAGCAAAGTTTAAAAGAATTCTTTTGTACCTCCTGTTAGTATAGAAGCTGTAGACAAAATCTGCAATCTTTTAAAATTCCTCTTAAATATTTAACGTATTTATCCATACTTTTTTATTTTGAGTACTAGGCACTGAACCTAGGGCCTGTGCACTAAACTATATGCCTAGTTCTTTTTATTTTTTATTTTGAGACAGGGTCTTGCTAAGTTGCCCAGGCTGGGCTCAAACTTGTGATCCTCCTGCCTCAGCCTCCCGGAGTGCTGGGACTACAGGCGTGTGTCACCTCACGTGGTTCTTATCTATACATTTTTGCAAAATGTTTAAAATTACTCATTATTATTCCCTAAAACAAGGACCAAAATTCACTTCAGGTAACATATACACATTGTTCACATTATTTTTTTAAAAATTTAACCTCTAATTTTTTTTAAACCAAAAAACTTTTTTTCCCTGGTGTTGAGGGTTAAACCCAGGGCTTCACATGTTAGGCAAGCACCCTACCATTAAGCTACACTCTCATTTCAGAAAAAAAAAAAAAAAAAAAAATTAATATGCTAAAATATAATTTTTATCATTTTAGTTACTTCTAAGAGTGCAATTTAATGGCATTAAGTATATTCACAATGCTGTGCAACCATCACCATTATTCCTAAAACTTTCATAACTTTCACCTCCAATAAAAACTACATATTCATTAAACAGTAATATCCTCTTCCAGCTTCCCACTAGACCTGCTCACCACCACTCTACTTCCTGTCTGTGTGGATCTGCCTAGTGTATGTACCCCGTTTAAGTGGATCATACAATCTTTACCTTCTGTATCTGGTTTATTTCACTAAGTATAACCTCTACAGGGTCCACACATGTCGGCATATATCACGATTCTTCTCAAGGATGAATAATATTCCGTCGGCTGTGTGTGAACCCTTGTGTATCCCTTCACCTGCTGATGGCCATTTGGGTTACTCTTACCCTCTGACGACTGTGAAGAATGCTGCTACCATCAGTGTATAAGTGTCTCCTCCAGACTGGCTTTCAATTCTCTCGGATATATACCTCTATCCTAGGGTCATATGGCAGCTCTATGTTTAACCTTCTGAGAAACCACCAAGCTGTTTTCCAGAGTGGCTGTACTGTTTTACTTCTCACCAGAGTGCATGACAGTTCCTGTTTCTCTAAATCCTCACCAACATGTGTTACTTTTCCTCCCTCCCCCTCCCCCTCCTTCCTTCCTGGCCACTCTAGTTGTGAAGTGGTAGCTCGCTATTCTGCTTTGCATTTCCCCAATGACTACTGACACTGAACGGCATCTTTTCATGCGCTTATTGCCCATTTATAAATTTGGAAAAATGTCTTAAGTCCTTTTTCTTTCTCTTCTTCCTCTTCTGCCTTCCCACTCTCCCTCTTCCTTTTAAAACTAGTACTGAGGACAAAACCCAGGGCTTACGCATGCTAGGCAAACCCTTTACAACCAAGCTACATCCCCAGCCTTGGCCATTTTTCAATTGGGCTGTCTGTTTTGTTATTGAGTTGTGGGAGTTCTTTACTTATTCGTGGTATAAATTCCCTATCAGATACATGATTTCCGTATCATTTTTTCTTATTCTGTAGGTTGTCTTTTCACTTCTTGGTAGTATTCTTTGCTGCACAAAAGTTCTTTCACATTTTCAATGCTGGGGACTGAACTCAGGGCCCCACACATGCACATTAGGGGAGTGCTCCATCTCTGAGCCACAGTCCCAGCACCCCGCCCTTGCCTTTTTAAAAAAAAATATTTTGAGACAGAGTCTCATGGATAGCCCAGGCAAGCCTGCAACTTGTGATCCTCCTGTCCCAGCCTCTTGAGTAGCTGGGATTATAAGCATGTGCCATCATGCTCAGCAATATTTTTAGCCCCCCTGCAAAAAAAATCCAACACAAGGATGGTTTTGCCATTCATCAAGAAATGTGAGCAATTGCTGGTTCTTTGACTCACAATGTGTACTCAAATTTCACCATATTGTTACATATACGACTGGGATATGATCAAGGATCACTGAAATCCTGAACAGACAGGACCACTACTTCCTCAGGGACCCCTGGGACTTTTGTAAGCTGTTTCCCAGGCAGGAGTCATAACTGTGTGAGCCTCCCTCCACGAGGTATGGTAGTGAGGCTGGCGTCCATTGTGACGATGGTTCTGGTCTCCCCGTCCCTGATAAACGAGCGCTTGGTCACCTCTGCCTGCTGCTCCTGATGTGGGCACTGGCGGCTACAGTTTCTCTCCCACTCACTCCCCTGCGGCTGTGTTTAGTTCCTAGTCCACAGGGGAATTTAGACGGGTTTTACACATATGTCCTTAAATTTTCTCTTTAGAAAATTTTATGTATTGTTATCATATGTTTGGAACGAATTAGAGGCCCAAGTCACAAACCCTGCACAGCGTCATCACAGGAATCTAAAAGGAACCTTCTACCTACAAAGTGGAAACGCATGCTCATGCTCAGTTTTGTTGTATTTAGCTAAACTGAAGAGCTTTTTAGTAGACAGCAATCCTTCCTGTAAAATAAAAAAGTTCCTAAAGATACTTGAAAGGCCGTACAGCAGTGCCCCACACACCTGTCTT